TGCATCCACCTTCACCATTCCCACCTTCGGAGGATTGGCATTGGTTGTCTACGTGGACGACTTGATTCTCTCAGGGCCAAGTCAATGGCACGAGCCTTTCTGGGAGGCGTTGGGTGAAAAGGTGTTGATTGACGACATTGGACCGTTGGGTCGCTTTCTTGGTCGACACCACTCCACTGTCGAAGTTGACAACACAGAGTTCTTTGGCTTCGACATGCGCGCATATGCTGAGGCTACTGTTCAAGAATATTTGAGGGTTGCAAACAGCCCAAAGATGAAAATCGTTGCATCACCGTTTCTCAGCAAGGGGTTCGTTGGAGCAGATGAGCGTGGTGCTCTGGCAGCTTCAGCCAGCAGCATTCTAATGAGACTCATGTGGTTGGCACGCCTTGCTCGTCCCGACCTGCTGAGAGTTGTGACTTGGTTGGCAACCGTGGTACAGTCCTGGACGCAAGCTTGTGATGCGTACCTGTACCGTGCCATGTGCTACCTCGAATGCACCAAGAACGCTATGTTGCTTGGGCATGTGCGTGATGCGCCGGAGCATGTGTTTGTTGAGCTTTTCGCAGACGCAGACTACTGCGGAGATGATGAACACACCCACAGTACCACTGGTGGATGGCTACAGTTGTCTGGCCCTCGGACGTCGTTTCCGTTGGCATGGCTGTCGAAGAAACAGACGGCTACGCGCCGAAGCACGACGGAGGCAGAAACTGTCGCACTGTCCTATGTGCTCTTTGAAGAGGGCTTGCCATTGGTTGAGTTGTATTCCGCAATGCTTGGGCGTCCCGTGTTGTTGAGGCTTCGCGAAGACAACACTGCATGCGCGAAGGTCGTAACAGCTGGATACTCCAAGAAGCTGAGGCATCTCAAACGCGTACATCGTGTGAGTTTGTCTGCGGTGAAAGAACAGTTGGACCGCGAAGACGTGGAACTGAGCCTTGTTGGAACGAGCGACCAGAAAGCCGACGCTTTCACAAAAGCAGTCGAGCCTGCGCTATGGCCCAAAACCCTCCAAAACCTTGGAGTGCACCTTGATGGATACACCATCAAACATACATCGGGCACTGGCCTGAAGTTGGACAAGCAAATGGCGTTGCAGCCAGATACACCAACGACAGATGTAGCGACAGGACCTCAGGGCACGACAGGCCCTACCCAGCCAGGGTACAAGAAACGGCAGAAACACAAGCCGAAGAGAATACCTCCATACAGTGTGCCACAGAGCCTTTCTGATACAGCTGGATAGCCCGGGATTCAGAACTGATCCCAAGCCGTCGAGCAGCTCAGGAGTCAGAGGGGGGAGATGAAATCCCTCAGCTTAAAACAACCACAAGATGAACTGAGCTTTGAGTGAGGCTTGCATGCTTACATGTATAGTTGGTAAAAGGAATCTAGGACCACTTTGTCCAAGATTGGAATTGTCATGTAAAGAATTGCATCATCTGAAATCGGTATGCTAAAGTAGCATTGCCGTGTGAACTGAGAGACTGATCGCCAACTACGTTTGGCTCAAGACTTTGGAAAATGGGCTGCTGACGCGACCGGATACGATCGTTCGCGTTTTGAGTCGGCCTACCAAGAGATAGACCAAGGTTTTAGCTTTCAATTGATTTAACTGTTTCTGTGCAATAGCGGATGAATACAACTTCCATGAAGCTACAAAGTGTTTTTTTTTAAGTTGCTTGATTTCACCCCCCTGTGCAGCAGCCATTTTACTGAGAGTGCCCTCGCGTCCCACCAGTGTGCAGCAGCCATGAGCCTTCGTGTGGTCGTTGCTTCTCGCTTCCAAGATAAGCTCTCCAAGACGGAGAGCAACCCAGACCACAAGTGGAAGGACATCATTGCTTCGTTTCCTGCAGCACAAGGCATTTCGGAGCATGGCTTGTCCTTCTGGGTTGGTGACTGCGAAGTGGTCCCTGAGAACTTGGTGAGTTCCTCCTCGGCTGGGGATCTTGGTCTTGTGTTCGTTTCAGCGCAGACCGAGTCGCAGGAGCGCTTGAACGCACTGGGTGACTCTTTGCGCAGGCATTGCGAGTGTGCGTATGACGGCAGCACAAGTGCTTGCTTTGACAATGTGGCCGGCTCAGACGAGATGACTTAAGAATCTTTTCTGAGGCACGGATCGGTATTTGTCCTTATCGTGCTATTAAATATTTGTATATATTTGCACAGGCTCGCGAAAAAACAACTTTGTAGGGTCAGGGAAGCTTTTTCTGCGCATTCATTTTTGCCGAATGTCTGGCTGTGCTCACGCACGCAGACGGGGCATGTCTCAGTTTGAAACCACTGTGCTCAGTTGCCTCGCGGTTCCCTTGTGGTAGCCACTGGTATGCCTTTTGAGGCCACATCGGGGAAGTACAAGTCAGAAACTAATCAAAATGATTCACGGTTACGGTTGCCAGGTAGGAAGAGAATCCAGAGCCATTTTTCCAGCGCTGCCCATGCAGGTGAGTCCTACCACGTGCGTGCAGCAGGTTGCCACCAAGAGCCACCTGGGGTACATTGTTTTATCGGCACAAGGCGCAATCAGGGGTGTTGTTGTTGAGGCAGAAAAAAGGTATTGTCTGTAGAGATCTCAGTGTAGCCCACTTTGCCAGGACGACAGCGTGCTGTACGGCAATGTGGTTTGGTTGCAGCAAAGGAGCTGCAGTCTGTGGCCGAGGTGGACGCGTCTGCAGAGGCGTCGGGTCCCGAGAAAATTGCCGAGGACAGCAGCTCCCTGTATCTTCGATCGTTCACACATGATCAAAGCTACAGCCTGCAAACAGACACATCCCAAGACGATTTCACAAAAACTTTGCGAGGCCCCAGAAGTGTTTTTTCCCTCTCTCTCTCTCTCTCTCTCTCTCTGTTTTCCTTCCCGTTTTTGCCAAGCTGCTTGCTGAGTTTTGGAAGCTGGGCGGACGTGACTTGGTGACGAGCTTGAGGCAGCTTATGGCAGTTCGAGACACAGTTTTGTTACGAGGTTCCGTGGAGTCAGCCCTAGAGCTGTGGCTCCTTGTGGCCCAGGAAGACAAGATGGCTGCCACGGATGATCCAGGCCACAAGGTTCTTTGCTCTTTTCTCCTCGGTCAGACACAGTCAGCCCACTGCGAGCGTATATTTGCCCTTGTGGTTGAAATGCAGTACCTGGCCAAGCAATTTAAGCAAAAAAACTTTTCCGCCCCTCCGAAGTTTTTTGGAAACCCGAAGTGAGGGGGGTCACAAACAAACTTTGCTGTCCCCAGAAAGTTTTTCTCTTTGCATTTCACCCCTGCCGTGGAGGAAGCATTTTGGCGCAGCCGCTACGCCAGCCTTCATCGAACAGCATTTGGTCGTCAAGGCATGGGGGCCGACTCCAAGCACAGAGGCTCCATGCCTTCAGCTCGTCAACGCATGTTGCGCTGCCTTTCTCCAGAAAGAGCGCAGGTTTTCCACTGCAAAGGGAGAGCTCATCAAAAAGAAAGGAATCTTGACCCGAAGGGTCCGAAAGGTCCGAAGCGACAAAGGAAAGGAGCATGCGTATCATAGAAGTAAAACCAAGACCGATGGTCTGGTCAGCGCGCCCAATGCCAGGCTGCTTGAACGCAAGGGCGAAGCCAAGATGTTTCTGGCAGAGGCGCCCGCAGAAGCGGCCAGGCCAAGCATTTTGGAAGAGTTATCCCCGCCCAAGAAGAGGCGTGACGACAACTGAGTGCGCCAGTAAAAGATTTTGCTTCTTGTCAACAGGCAGACGACGGGTTAAACCCGAAAAGCCGCTTTAACGAGAACACAAATTTCCTCAGAAGTTGGATTTAAGCACGAGGTGACGAGGTAAGATTTTGAGTAGATTGCCCAGATGCATGAGGTCCACTCCCCCAAATAATCTGCTAATATGGGAGTTGGAGTAGGAGTAGGAGTAGTAGTGGTCGCAGTGGTAGTCGTTGTCATCGTTGTGGTGGTGGTCGTCGTCGTCCTCGTCGTAGTAGTAGTAGTAGTAGTAGTAGTAGTGGTAGTGGTAGTAGTAGTCGTCGTCGTCGTCGTAGTCGTAGTCGTAGTCGTAGTGGTGGTGGTGGCGGTGGTGGTGGTCGTAGTATTAGTAGTAGTAGTACTAGTAGTAGTAGTAGTAGTAGTAGTAGTAGTAGTAGTAGTGGTAGGAGTAGGAGTAGGAGTAGTAGGAGTAGTAGTAGTAGAAGTAGCAGGAGTAGCAGGAATAGCAGGAATAGCAAGTAGCAGAAAGTAGTAGCAGTAGTAGTAGTAGAAGAAGAAGAAGTAGTAGTAGGAGTGGGAGTGGGAGTAGGAGGAGGAGGACGGGGAGTAGTAGTAGTAGTAGTAGAAGTAGAAGTAGTAGTAGTGGCAGTAGAAGTAGAAGTAGTAGTGGAAGTAGTAGTAGTAGTGGTGGGAGCAGTAGGAGTGGAAGTAGGAGGAGGAGGAGGGGGAGTAGTAACAATAGTAGTAGTAGTAGCAGCAGCAGCAGAAGTAGTAGTAGTAGTAGTAGTAGTAGTAGCGGTAGTCGTATTAGTAGTTAGTAGTTATTAGTAAGTAGTAAGTAGAAGTAGAAGTAGCGCCTAGAAGTTGTAAGTAGAGGGAGTAGAAGTAGTAGTAGTAGTAGTAGTAGTAGCAGTAGTAATTAGTAGTAATTGGTAGTCATTTTGATTATATTTTTTTGACTATTATTGTTAGCAGTAGTAGTAGTAGTAGTAGTAGTAATAGTAGTAGTAGTAGTAGTAGTAAGTAGTAGTTAGTAGTTAGTAGTTGTAGTTAGTAGGTAGTAGCTAGTAGTTATTAGCTTGGGTTTGGATTGACTAGGGGAGGTTTATTCCTGAGCTGACATTAGTCTAGGAACCATTTCTTACGTCAAGGGTGCTTAGCGTTATTTCTTTACTTAGCTTACTACATTGCTATCCCTTCGGCCTACCCACCCAGATGAAATGCATTCAAAGGGAAACAAACGGAAACAAAAAATGAGCAGATACTGCTTGCCTTCAATACAATATCCTTCAATGTTTTGACGCATGGTTTGTTGTTTGCTTGTCAAGGAAAAGGCCCAAGGATGCTGCTTATGCCGCTCTACGGTGCTCCAGATGTGTTCTTACTTGATTGCACATCACATGTGCTTTCTAGGCAAGCGTTCCAATTGATTTGAGAGGTACTTGGGACTTCTTCCAAATTCTTCAAAACACCCTCCTGCCAAGAGTGCTCAAGTCCGAACCAGCTCTGTCGTGGCTCGGCACTCAGCTTGAGCAATTGCTACTGCTGTGGTGAACAGGCAGGGTACTGTACTTGAACAAATCAAGATTCATGATGTATCATGACCTCATGTTTCGCTCATGTTTCCACATTTTTGGTGGGGTCATGCGAATCTATGTTATTGTGCTGAGCCAGGGCCACCTGCTTGAATTTGCCTTGTCAGTGTGCTTTGCTACCGCGGCTGAATGCCGTGCTTTGGCAGAGGCAGCTGGTGAAGAGGCCGGATATGTTGAACATCAATGATTGCGATGTCACGTCAGTTTGTTTGTGTTTTTATGAAATCACCAGGACAAGAAAGCATTGCTTAGACTTAGGGCGTTGGCAGAGCGTCATGAGCTCGGCTTGATTAGAAGCTTTGCAGTTTTTTTGTGGCCGCCTTGTCACCAATCGCCCAGGAACTAACTTGTTGGGCCGTGGCGTGGTGTGGGGGCCTGGCATTTGTTTGCAACAAGGACAATCAAAACGTACATAACGCGCGCAGCTGCAGCTCTTGTTTATCGTGTACGGGCTCACTGATTGCAGCTAGTTTTCGCCACGCTTGGTTTTACAAAAGTTTTTGCAAGTAATTGTTCAATTCAAAAGTGTGATTGTGCAAGGTCATCATCTGCATCATTTGTAAACTAGTCCCAAAAAGCTCGGCTAGCTCGGCTTCTGTGGTTTGCTGCAATGCATGGACAGTAACTACTTTTGCATTAATTATATAGGTGTCCAAATGACTGATTTTCCACAGAGCGTATTTACAACTTTAGACCAGCTGTGTGCAATTCAGTTTAGCAATCCTTGACGTAGCCCTTAATAGACTTCCAGTCAAAGCTACTGCTAAGGGCTGAATAGGATATTTGGATATATTTGGCAGATGCCTTCAAACTGCACACTATATAACTATTTCAGCAAAAAAACAATTGATGCCAAATGTACCCACTCCACAATGAATGAGGTTGTGTCATCTGTGAATGACGCAACGCTTTCGCCGGCCATGCTGGCCTGTGAAAACAATCGCCTCGATGATTTGTGGGATGCTGTTGAATTGCATCAGTCGTCGGGTTTCTTGTATCCATCGCTTCTTTTCATTTACAATCAATTTAGCTTTGACGCTTGAGGGATTAAAGATTATACAAGGTAAGGTACATATTATATGCCATGGATTAGTTAGACACCGACTTAATCTACGGCGCTAGGTTCTAGATGTTGATTCTCTTGGGTTTTGAGGTTCTTGTAGTGAAGCTGCTATCCGCTATTTGTGCTTGAGCAGCAGTATGCCTCGGGAAGGCGGAACTCGTTTTTGCCTTCTTGGAAGCATCTGCCAACTCAAGGCCAGCTCTCAACTCTTTACATAAGAAAGAGAAAGATACAGCATCCAGCTGAAAGTTGAATTTACATGGTTTCTCAACTTTTACGGAGGCGCCATACCTATGGAAGACATCATTCTGCTTCAAGCATGATGAGTAGCGCAGGCCAGGTTGATGCTCATGTCAGAGCCGCAGAGCTCAACAATTTCACTTGCCAAATCTTTATTTGGTTTTGGTTATTTTTGGGTGTTGAGGCCGGTCTTTTTCGCGCGTGAAATTTGATGACAGCCCACCAGATGAGAACAGGCCGCAGCGAAAAGACTGTTGTGTATTGATTGCACCGATTGCGTGGGAAACTTGAATGGATCCCTTTTTGATGTGGCATCAAAACTGGGTTCAATGGAGTTTGTTGCTTTAGAATTAACACCTGTTTCAATTCATATATAATAACCATGTGCATGTAGAAAGCCGCAAACCCTTTTGGGCACTGTTGAAAACATCCAGTGTTTGTGTCTTGATATGCAGATGAGTCGCGGCCACTGCTTCAATGTTTCAATCCGGAATGCATGAAGCTTCAGCTCCTTCCTCCTATTGGTAGTTGTTTGTTCTGTGGTGCGTCACTAACAATATATGTTTGCTTCTAGCATCGGTGCATCATAAGGGCCAGACCAGGAAGATTCTGGGATATGATATAATCCATTATCCTCAATGACAGCTAAACATGAGACTAGCAAAAGATTCGAGATGTTTTGCGCGAAGACTCACATGCACAAAACAGTGAAGCCCTGGAGGTCGCTCAATGGAGACAGTCGACATCACACACCCCCGCGCCAGGTTGGGATGGGTCGACGACGGTATATCACACCCGTTTGAAACATGCTTTGAGCTGTTTCTAACGCTTTGCAGGAGACAGATCAAGTAGTTCAAGGACAGTATTTGAACAATTTGCCTAGACAAGATTCCCTAGCGTCCAATCAGAGCCGCGGCCTTGGCCACAGATGTCACATGAGCTGCAGAGTCAAGGGTAAACAAAAGAGCCCATTGAGTGACAAGGTGGCATGAGCTTCTTGAACAAACGGACCGGCTTTGGCTCGATCCTCAAAAAAAATTCAAGATGGAAAAGCTTTTGTAAAACAGAAGTTGCTTTAAAAAAAAATCTCAGAGCATTTGACCAGTTGAAGAACCGAGTCTCTTTTGTTAATATAAGTTCTGAGGTCGATCGCAGTCCGACTTTAGCTACTCCTCCTTTGCAGACTTCAATCGCAAGCACGAGGAAAGAAAGGGTCAAATGCAACAAAGTGTTTGAGCTTGTGGATCTTGCCATCGCGCTCTTGGGATACTGAGACCCGATAATTGATCGTTCTTCGAATCCAGATTAGACAGAGGCTTTGCTCTGGCTCTCATGATGTTCCAGTCTTCAGCTGGGCTTTGGACAAAGCCACACTTGTGATCACGTGGTTATATAATTGTTTGTTCCACGGGAATTTCCAGATCAAGTCATATCTTTCTTGTAGGGTCGGTCAAGCTTGCTATTGATCCAGGGAAGTTGCCCTCGGACCTATAAAAATTGTGCAGTTTGGTTTTCCTAGAATGATGGATTTTTGATGATGTTGGACAAGACTGGAAGTGGCTAAATGTCCGCATTTATGTGTTGGGAAGGCTCGCGAAGCCACTGGCGTAAGCTTCACAGTTGACATGGGCGAAGCGCAAAACCCATTCGCTAAGGCAAATATTCATTCCCTGAATGACAGCAAAACGATTCTGCAAAAACCGTTTCGCGAAGCTATGTTGTGTCCGCGAAACAAAGCCTCGAGCGTAGGCATTCCAGCAGTGCACAGGCGCTTAACCTTTCAAAAAGACAAGAATAATTGGGGTTGAAGCATAGGGTATTGAATTTCCTCTACAAACCATGGACCCTCGCGGGTCGATTTTGACCATTTCGTAGAGGGTATTCTATAGAGAAAAAAGCCCGTGGGTATATAATATATATATATATATGTTTTTGTAATATAGAATGATCCACCTCAGGGTCAGGTATTTTATAGAAACCACCGTTTTTGGAAGAATAAACCCTGGCTCCCTGGACTTTGTAGAGGAGTGGATTACGATGATTGCTCTTATAGTTGGGTACCTTGAGTTTACACAGACCATCTTACAGAGAATCATCCATGTCCGCTGCCCGCTGCTTTATCAGGGTATGTTATCAACTTTATCGACCTGCTATGGCTATTGGGGTGGGTGATTCTAAAGTGGACCACCTTGGGAGCGCTTGTCTTATCAGGTTCAGATTGCAACCATGAGGGGTGTGATTCTACATTCTGAGCCTTTTGTTCCTCGTTTGGGTGTCTAGATTCTATAGTATTTTATAGTTGGGGGGGGCGCAAATCAGATCTATAACATGACCACCCCCGAGGGGTAGGGGAATTCCTGCCCCTTTTTTGAAGCGACCTTTCGATCTCGAACACAGACACGTGACTGACTGAATGCCAATATCCTGCCCTCTCCATGAATGCCAATCACAACAACCTCTTCTATTTGTTGTAGACCACACCCCATGTGAATATTATGGTCAAGAATCTTCACATACAGTGCACAAGGTCTGGGTTTTCGCTGCCCACATCACAATTTATACAATTGTCCACAAAGTTTTTGCAGGCTGGAGACGAGAAGAACGCAAGGACGGTGACGGAGACATCAGTACCTGATGCTCCTGCCTTTGTGGAGTTTCTCATCGTTATCCTAAAGGGCCAGGACAGCTTCAAAAGGGATTCGCTTCTGGAGATGTTGTGTTGTTTTTTGGAGATCTGGTGGCATTGACAATTGCCTCGTGAAAGTCAGCATCCCAGGAGTCCAGTGCAGAGCCACTTCCGTTGGGCTCGAAGGCGAGTGGCACTAAGTGCAACAGCATAGACTTGGACGCATGCGATGGAGTTCTCGCTTCACGCAATGCAGGGTGGCAGTGGCAACCTAGTACTTGATCTGAAACTAAACCACGACTTCATCAAGTCTGGGGCTCAAGAAGTGCGAAGGGAGATTGTGTCACACTGTGTTTGTACTTGAACATGCTTGGTTTTCACGTGTTGGTTTTGTATGCAGAGAGTGCAGGGCAGATCATACAGACGATGATGCTGCTTCAGCGGATGCCTCGCTTGCAGATATGCAAAGTTGTTCATCGTGTTCCAATGATCACACGTCCTAGTCGTCGTGTGGAGATGGCGCAGCATGCCTGCTCGGCCAGAGGCTCTTACCTACCATTCCTATTGCGATGCACTCTTGGGCAGTGAAGGTGCAGAGGAGCTGGGCCATTCTGCTCATCAAGAAAACATGGAACTCTTGGAGTCAAAGGTAACCTTTAGGTTTTTACATGTGTTTACTGCAGGGGGGCTGGTTGTTCACGCAAGTACCAACGCACGAAAAGGCTCGCATTGAACACTGATATCGGCGGGGACGCTCACCGATGTACCTGCTTTCCTTTGAACTGTTGAACAAGCTGTGACTCTACTCTCCTGTAAAATGCTAATGAGTTCTGCAGATGTGAGCATCTTGTCGCTTCGCGGTTTGCGGCGTTGGACTTTGAGACTTTGGCCTCCTTCCTAGATACTCAAGCCGCCTTACCCCTTGTCCTGGCTTCTTATGGGCTTTTTAGGTGGCAAACCGCAAATCACCGCACGCATTTCCCGATTGTGTCTGGCCTCGTGCCAGCCCAGTGTGTGCCCGACGAGTGTCCCCTGTGGCCTTGCCAAGAAAGGGTTTGTCTCATTCTCCCAGCCGGAGAGCAAAGTAGCTCGCAGCGAGCGCAGGAGCCTTGTGGCATAGGCCAGTTAATAGACTTGACAGTTGTCACGAAAGCGATCTCCGAAGGAGCTTGAGTTTACGATTAGATAGGTCAAATCGAAGGGCTAGGTTTAACTAGGTCCGCTTTAATGAGGCTTGGCTTCGTCTTTCCGGCCCCTCCGGTTGGTTCCCTTCACACACACTTCCTTTCCTTTTTCGTTTCATGTCCTGTCTGCCTTCATGTCCTGTCATCTCGCTGTCATTCTTCTTCTGCGCACACATCGGTCCGGCCCTGAGCGTGCACGCGCCGCATCTACATTTAATCCAGGCTTCAAATCGCCCAAGTCTGGTTGATAAGTTCATCGGCTGTCCCTGTGCAGTTGGGTCCCCTTCATTGCAACCACGCGCAGTTGTGTTGTCCCGTCTTCTTCTCATGTCCTCGTCTGTTTGTCCTTCGTGCACGCGCTCGCTTGTCCGAACCTTAGTTTTTGCACCCCAAACGGGCATGTGTGTGTGGAACTCTTAGAGCCAAATGGAACTGGAACCTCTAGGTGGGGCTGGTTGTTCATGCAAGTACCAGGACTTTGAGACTCTGGCCCCCAAACAACAAGCGTTGGCTTCCTGGATGTTCAGATCTCCTTACTTACCCCTTGTCCTGGTCTCTTAGGTTTTTTACTGAGGCTGGCCAATCCCATACCGTGCGCATTTCCCAAGTGCCCGTCGCGTGTGTTTTGGTATGACAGCGCAAGATGCTTTTTGCTACGCGCCTGTTGCGGGCCTGTCCTTAGGAGAAGGAGACCATCAGCGCTGAGATAGCAAGAATGGAGGGAGCAGAGGCAGTTGAAGAACTTTCCAATGTTTGCCTTGCTTGACATGGCTTTGAAATGGAAAAATGGGTCAAAATTGTAGATCCAGCTTGCAGGGGAGGAGATTGAGAGGATTGTTTGGATTCTTCAAATTTTATAAGCGTAGGGGTTCATCAATGCATTTTGCTTTTTTCGAGCAAGTCCAACAAAGGAGATGTTTTTTGGGTTGGAACGCTTCACAAGGCCCATTTCTATCTCTAAAATGTTTCAGGAGGGCTCTGGCCATCCCTGGCCCAAGCTTTCCAGTTAGCAGGGCCGTATGAGCGACAGAGTTGGGTGTCGATTGCCACTTGCAACGGTGTTCCTGCTTCAAAGTCAAAAAAGTCAAAACAGAAAGTTTCAAAAGTCAAAGAATTCTGGCCCAGATCTGACTTTTTGGACTTTTTTTTTGACCCTTTTCCACTCTTTTAATGACTTTGGGGTTTTTTGACGTTATATTACTTTTTCGACTTTTCGAGTCGTTTTCTTCTTTTGCATTGGTGGCGCTGGCTGCTGATCTGCGCACATTGGAGATTTTGATGGCTTTTGCCAGGAGCCGCTGTCTTTGAGGGTCACGCCAACATTTTCCGGATGTGGTGTACGGGCTTTGTTTTGGAATCTCTTGGGCTTAAGTGACAGGTACCTTCGTTGGAATGGCTCCGCACCAGTTCTTCGGCTCAATCTTGAAGACCCAGATGTAGAGCGTCGTTGGCGGGGTTCTTTTTGTGATGACACAACTCCTTCCGCTGTCATGCGGTTTCCCCATCAACCCCACTCCCTACGCTTCACCCACGTGCTCGCAGTCGCGGATGATCCTTCCATTCAATCCCTGATCCACTCCTAGGCGGCAGCTCATCAATGGAAGGCTCAGCAGATTACGCTGGACTTGGCCAACCTGCAGCCCACCTATTAGCCCAAGATCAAGCACGAGGTGGCAGCCTACTCCAACATACTCCAACCCAAATTATGGGCGAGATGCGCCAGTCCTCCAGCGTGGTCAAAAGGCCACTGCTACGCGGTTGCCTCGTCACCTTGCCCGCAGGCGTGGCAGCGCGAGGCTTTTATCTCTTTGATTGCATGCGTCGGCCTCGTTTCCTCTGTCGTCGTGAAGCGGCAATCGTTTGCGCGGCGACCTGGCTCTTCTTGTGCTCGAATCACATGCCGTATACGCGATGTGTCTGGATGCTGATCAAGTGCGTCGCTAGTGCAACCCGAGCGATGCCTTTCAGATGCACCAGAAGAGCCATTGGCTGGGACCCCACGACGGCCAAAGACTTCTCGCAGCAGCTTGTTGAGGAAGATCGTATCCTGCAACCTTGGGCGCACTCTCCTCAAGCTCTTTGGCAACAAGTTAGCCTGGATGAACAGAGTCAACAGAGAAGTGTGCATCACGCATCAACAGCGCACGCTTGTCATCTAATTTTGGGCACGCTGGCCGCCTCTACCGATAGTTGGATAGTCAACACAGATCTCTAGAGGGCGTGCTGCTTTCGGCAGACGCTTGCAATTTGGCATGGAGGTGAGTTTGCAGTCCTCGCAAAAGACAGCTTACCTACTCTTCTGGCCTCTATAGATAGACAACGCAGCCCGCTCTCAGCGTGCATTGGTGACAGTTCTTGTCCCACCCTTGAGGCTCATGGCTTGACCCCGACTGATCGACAGCTAGTTGCTGAATTCCAGAGAGTTTGCCACTTAACGCCACCTTACTGGCGCGCCACTTACACAGTCGAAGGCTTAGCAAGGTCGACGCGCGCGATTGGCATTTGGAGCTCCAGCGCCTCTTCGGCCCAACAGTCTGTGGGAGGCGCTTGGATTGGGTCTGCCAACGTTCTGACTTCTCCCCGATCCGACCGTCGACCGTTGCACCTCAGTTGGCCAGACGAACACGGGTGGCTCGCGTGATGGTTCAAAACCATGGCGCAAGCGTCTTCGCACCTTCGAGTTGGACAAGAGACTGGCTCATCGGATCCTCTCCAGTTCCCCCGGATGCGATTGCCACCGAGGCAACGAAGACCTGGCAGCTGACCTTTCTGGGTGGCCTTTTTCGGTGTTCATCGATGCATCGGCCGTACTATTTTGAACGGTTGCCCATCATGAGGCTCCTCAAACTGTTTGCCGCGCCCCTGAACTCCTCTGTGGCTGGGCTCTGTGGCTGTGCTCAGCTGAACTCTGTCAACTCTGTGGCTGGGCCCAGGTCCTCTGTTGTCCTCCTCTTGCCCCTGAACTCGGTCAACTCTAGGGCTGGCTTTGTTCTGTGTCCAGGCCTTGTCCTTGTGTGGTCCATCTCTTGGCCGCGCCGCCTGTGTGTGAGGCTCTGTGTCCAGGCCCTGTCCGCGCGGCTGGGCTCTGTGTCCAGGCCTTGTCCTCCTCTTGTCCTCGTCTTGGCCGCGCCCGTGAACTCTGTCAACTCTGTGGCTGGGCTCTGTGTCCAGGCCTTGTCCCGCTCTGTCCTCGTCTTGGCCGCGCCCCTGAACTCTGTCAACTCTCTGGCTGGGCTCTGTGTCCAGGCCTTGTCCTCGTCTTGCGGCCTCCTCTTGCCGCGCCCCTGAACTCTGCCAACTCTGTCCAGAAAGGCGTGCTCAGAGCGCGCTCTACAGAGAGAAAGACAAAGAAAGATAAACTTAAAGAGAAAGAAAGAAAGAGAGAGAGAGAGAGAGAGAGAGAGAGAAGAGAGAGAGAGGGAGAGAGAGGGAGGAGAGAGAGAGACAGATGTCAAGAGACAAGTTCATTTACAATAGCTTATTTACTCCCTCGTACTGTTCATGTACAATTGCATGGTGCTGTACAATGCACCTTGGATCGACGCCTTGAGCCTAAGGACAATTGCCAGAGGAAACAATACAGAGACGTGCGCAAACAAACGACAAAGAAACAGCTGCTGAATTTTTACATGGTAGCAGAGCAAGGATCCTGGTAACAACAATCCAGGTGAGCTCCAATACAACAACAGGCACAAGCCAACAAACACACACAACGGAGAGCAAGCCTTGACCCTACAACAGGTAGCTTGCACAGCTGCAACAATGGCAGCGCAACCAGCAGCAGCTCAAGCTGGAGATGGACTACCTCCAGTTCCAGAAGATGAGACAACAGCCAACATAGTAAACATGAACAGATACAAACTCAAACCACCCTTCTTCAATGGAGACTATGGCACGTTCGAGGAATGGAAGTACAAATTCACAGCATACATGGGATTGCAAGACAATGATTACACAGAACTACTACAAGCAGCAGAACGAGGCACAGCAGAACTAGCAGAGGTACAACTACGAGCAGCGGCAACAACAATCGAGGATGGTGAACGACATGTTCGACTCAGCACTGATTTGAGGTACATCCTCATCAACACAACAACTGGAGCAGCAGCTACAGTATGCAGGCAGTACCAACACACAATTGGCTTCGAGATGTACCGACAACTGTGCATCCGCTTCTCCATCCCATTGGGGACAAGATCCATAGGACACTTGACAAGATTGTTGAAGCCAACATTTGACAAGAACAACTTCGAAGAATCATTTTCCACATGGGAATTTGAGCTACAACGATTTGAGCGAGACAATGGACAAACGCTCCCAGACTCCGTGAAGATTGCCGTACTGCTCAACGAGACAAGTGGACCACTACAACAACACTTACAACTCCTTTCAGGACAAAGCCCAAACTACGCAAGAGTCAAACAAACAATCATTGAGTACTACAGATCAACAACAGCATTCAGCAAACTACAACAAGTACGATCACAATCATCCAGTGTAGCAACAAGCTTTGGTGGAGGACAAGCACCCATGGACATTGATGCAATCCACAAAGGAAAAGGTAAGTACAACAGTTACAAAGGAAAAGGCAAAGGAAAAGGGAAGAACAAAGGCAAAGGCTACGGAGGATACAACGGCTACGGATACAACAGTTACAACAACAGCCACAAAGGAAAAGGAAAGTATGGAGGAAAAGGATTCAACAACTACAACAACGGTCCGATCGGCTTTGGCAATCCATTCGGAAGAGGCAACAAAGGAAACAAAGGATTCAGCAAAGGATACAACAAAGGCAAAGGAAAGAGCAAAGGAAAACAAGCAACAGATACATGCTACAGATGTGGAAGAACAGGACATTTTGCCAAAGATTGCCGAGTGGCAATACACAACATTGGACAAGGAGAAAGCAACGACATTGAGGATGCAACAGCACAACGGTACGATGACTACTATGACAATGGATGGTACTGTCAGGACTATATGAGATCACAACCAGGACAACAGCCATTGGCACTCCCACCAATTCCATCCAATGGCAACAATGACATGACTCCAATCCATGTCATCGCCATGATCAACAATGGCAATGACTACAAGACAGGCACCACAAGCAGCGGTACAACAGACACGATGCACATCATGATCGACAGTGGAGCAGCCACACATGTCTGCCCACTATGGTTTGCAGACAACTATCCAGTGTACAAGATCGATCAAGCACAAAGCCCAAACCTCAGGACAGTGACGAACAAGACAATACAATGCTACGGCGTGAGATGGGTCTACACGCAATCGAGAGGGCAACCAATTGTCATACCATTCTATGTGTGTGACATCCACGACCCAATCCTGTCAGTGACAAGACTGGCAGAACAAGGCTTTGACATCAGGTTCAACGACACCCCAACAATGCGCCATGACAAGGGATTCAATGTTCCCTTGGTGCAGCAGCACAATCTTTACTACTTGGCAGCAACAGTCATGAACCTGGGACAACATCAACAACTACAGCTGAGACACACACCAAAGGGCATGATTGCAATGATTGCCCCAACAACACTGACAAGACATGGACCACAACAAGTCCTTGGAGGCAATAGCGACTACTGGAACTACAACAATGAAGGATACCTCGTACGGTATCACCGTCCATGGGCATATTTGCGGCATCTAGATCAACAAAAAAAGAGCGTCGAAAAAAAAAGGATCAAAAAACATAATAACGGATCA